TATTTACAGTATTTACTGCAACATTTGGGTGACTGACTGTTAAATCAGTCAGCAGGACCTGGAAGATGAACAAGTTGGGAGAAGTTAGTGGCTGGAGAGCTTTAAGGGTTGCCTGTACCACATTCTAGTCAATCAAGAGTCTGCTACCGCCACTCTTTTGAAGGTCCTCTCGTACGTCAACTAGTACAGTTTTCTGGGTCGCTTCTAAGGATGCGTAAAGCTGATTCGAAATCGGTTTGACCACAGACACGAGGTCTGTCTTACTTCAAGTTACGATAGCGAGCCTACCATGTGCATCACAGCTTGTTTCTTCCAGAGGTGGTTGAGAATAGAACCGCTTCAATCACCTAAGCATTTCTGAATTGTCTGGTTGGAAAAGCCCATTTAGGCCCAAATGCAAACGTTGAAAGCCGCAACGTGAAACAAATTCGTTGAATTCAGAACATCAGGTGAGTGCTTTTCACCAAGATTGTGTTTCGAGTTTTTTCACCCGGTAAAGGGTTAGATACGGAGTAATTGTTACGTAATCAACAGCTAAATGAATCAGAAGGGCTTGGGCGAAGAACGCATGGGTTGCGTCAACGAATGAGGAGCTTTAAAGGCGACTAATAATTCCCAAACCGAAAAAGGGAGTTTGGTTGGGGTACCCAATTCTCAGCTTCGAAAGTTTGACTAACAAGTCAGTGCGATCAAGTGAGTTTTGTACGGGGACTCTACTCCTAGCGTCTGATTCAAAAGTTCGAACCACGAGGCAGCGTTTGTTAGGGTTCTGTTTGGAAACCCTTCCCGGAGCCAATGACTCAGTCGTTTGACTTGCTTGGCTGTATGGGGTTGGCCTGGCCCGAGAACAGAGGAAGTAGGGCATATTTGTTTGACTCCCAACGCATCTGAGCACAGCAGGTGCCTTTTGAACACCACCGGACTCTGGTTTTAAAGGCCTCTCAATTGTATTGAATAATGCGCCGGCGGTCACGGTCAACCATCGGACCATTGGTGTGTGGTTCTTAGGACCGACCTTTTCTAACCAATCCTTCCTCGGAGAAGGGTTGCTTCCATAAACATGGTTATACTGGCCATCTGGGGGAAAGGCCTTGCTGCTTTCGCACTCCAATCGTACAGGACAGTACGACTTTACCTCCATACCAACTCGTAATAGGATTTATCCCAGTACATGAACCGCTTGTTCTTTGTTGATCTGCTCCGCTTCGGCCATCCTGGAAGGGTTGAACTTCAAGGGATTGAGTTCCAGGCAACGTGGCCCACAGTTGCATTGCAGCACCGAGGTCTGATCACCACAACGACATGGTGACAGAATTGAGTCTGGTCGATAACTATCATAACCGAGAGATTCAGGTGAATTCCAACGACGTCTCCGCTGACATCAAATGCCTATTTATCTCAGCATAAGTAAATTTTGTTGATCAATTTTCAAAACAAAACAAGTCCGAGTGAAGTTCGGGGACTTGATGAGCCTCGAGAAGGACGAAAACGACAGCACAATCGCCAAATTTTCATCGACCTTTAGAGTAGTATTGAATGAATGTCTTGCGCAACGGCATGGGACACGTTACGTCGAGTATCAGCTGTGACAAAAAGTGAGGTATAGACATTGAACTAGAATTGAACCCAGGTACCAGATACACTGACTAGGTTTTCATTGACGCAATCTTCAGGAAGTGTCTGGAGAAAAATTGCTTGATTAAGACTCTACGCTGCTTTCATTCCGGTTGGAAATAACAGCCAAAGGTTCGTCCTCTTCTGTCAGATGTTTACTCGATACTTGGTGCACTAGAAGCTACTTGCGGTCACTCATCTGGACACAATCCTTTCAGATACCACGACCATCAGAAACTGTTTTTCAAACTCGTGTTACGAGGACCGACGCCCAGCGATTGAGTATTTTCTCGCAAGCCACAACTTCAACTATTCGACCAGAGGATCTGCAATCTCCATCAAAGTCCCCGTTACTTCAGTCGGTGAAGAATTGAGACCCTCTGCCTTTTTAGGATTCGTTTTCTGTAACCCATCACACAACGTGTCGAATCAAGGGGCCTGTTCGATGCGATGGTCGAATATTAGCTGGGTGGCGAAACTCACGACCAAGTTGCTCCAATCTCCGTCTCAGTGAACTTAAAGGTATCATTTATGCCTAACAGTCTATTTTCGCATCATTTTCACCTTCTCCCTCGAAACCTTCATTCATATCTAAAATTTCTGCACACTCGTAAATTTGGTGAAAACTCCGGGTAGCCCACCAGTTACTCTGCCCTTCTTACGGCTCAATGGGGGGTTTACTCCCCGAATATCCATCGACTATACTCTGTACTGGGACACCGAAATGAACGTATGATGCGGTCAAAACGCATTCGCTGACAATTTGGCCGAATTCGAACTGAATCTCTCTTTTCTATTGGTTGATTGCCCCTCCTGTCAAAAAAACAAGTCAGTTTGTAAGTGCCGATGTCAGCATACGTAAAACCTTTTATTTTTCTTTTATTTTTCCTTTTATTTTATTTTTCCACTGGATTTTAAGGATTTTGCGCAGACACCACAAACGAAATCGGTCAAGAATCCGAACCTGCCGTCTGTATATATGGGCGAGATGGCCCAAGTGGTTGGAGCGCTAATTTACTGACCGGAAGGATGGTAGTTCGACCCCTACCACTGCCTCTCGACTTCGCTTGTCAAGATTTGGGCAAACTGGCAGTATCCCAGTCCTCGCCCTTACTTCGGAAGGCATGGCAGCTAGACACCGAAAGGGTGCTACAGCTGAATGATGATTTCATCTTCCAGTTGGCGGTATATTCGAGGGATCGCGGTACAATTTCACAAACAAAATTTCCGCATAGGGCTGCTGAAAGCTCTACCCACGACTTTCTTGGGAAGCCTAGTCTCCCATTTGAAAATAAAGCTGTACACGTGTTGTGATAAAGATTCATTTGCAAATTAGGTTGATGTTGACGGAACAGTGAATCGTTTTCCAACTGAATCTCTCGTATACAGTTTTCATCGTCCATATAAATAAGACTGAAGCACACTTTGATATCCCAGATGTCGTTCCGCTGGAAAAACAAAAAGATATTTTTGCACCAAATTCAGTCTCAGAATATAATGAACAAGAAACCCAACTGAATTTCAGTTAAGTCTGTCGCCAACACCTAAATTAACGGAAGGTTCGCTCGTTTGAGGCATCCTTTGAGCGACGACACTTAAGCCAACAGGCCGGAAGCTTCTTAGTGGCTCAGACAGTTCAACAAGTTGAAGACTTTATCTTCAAATTAGCTCGAGATAGCTCAGCGTTTCAGGTGCGAAGTTACTGACCATAAGATCCGTAGTCCGAACCCGACCTTGGCATCTCGACTGCTCCTGTGTGGCCTTGGACAACCTGACAGTGTTTCAGCCCTCGTACTTCCTTCAGGAGTGATGGAAGCTAGGGGCTGAAGAGGTGTTACAGCTGAACAATCGTCATTTTTTCTTACCTTCTTTCCAATGGGTATGATGTAGTTCATCGGGTTGGGTGTGGCAAAACCTGCTCGTCGTGGAATACTTCTCTGGCGCTCAGTGGTTTTATTGAAAGCCTGTGAAAATGGCAAGGGGGAGGCGTTCACATCTTTCGACATAACTGACCTGCAAGTGCACATGCCAGAGGGAGACATTACCTACGAGCCTGACCCAAGACAAGCCCGGTGCATGACGGCAGTCAGGCAGTTGTGTCGAGAAGTGATAACCTGTTCCCCATCAAAATTGGTCGCTTGTCTTGTTCTGTTCAACCACGTGTAGGGAGGTTCTCGTGGACCCCACCCAGGAAGACGCCAAGAGTTCGCAGCACCCGACTCTTAACAAAAGTGGAAATGCGATCAAAGCCTTCTTCGACATTTGAGTATCTCAAGCATCTGGTAATGTCAGATTTTGTTTGCTCCTCCCCCCTAGCACTTCTTCAGCACGACTTCAAATCAAGAAACAACTGGTGATCAAACGTTTGTTGATGCAACATCTGTAGTCTATTGAGCGAGGATGATCTCTGGGTACACTCACTTCTTCCCATTGTACGGTTAAATTTAGTATAAAATGCACTTCCTGGATAGGTGAGTCAAGCATGTGTCACAAAAACATGGGGCTCTACTCTTGGGATGACTATCGGAGTTGCCACTAGTATTTTAGGCAGCCAAGATATGGATATCTCTAGCCAGATACTCTCATTTCCACTCGCATTCACACGCAATGAATGTACAAAGGGTGCTGTGGGCTATCGGAGAGTTTTCAGCAACCTTACAAGTAGTGTGTTGTGTCTCGACAACGTAGTATGATATCTCGCCCATCGTACTAACTGAAATCTGAGGCAACCCGGTTCATCATATTCATCTGAAGAATAGTTGAGGCTCCCGTCAAAACCAAGTTAGTAGTATCTGTCAAATTTCGTTCGATTTGCGTTCAAAAGCAACCTAACAGCCCTTTGTCGCTCTTCGGTGACACTACTGTAATGCTAAACAACAAACAAAATTGAGAGCGTCACGCTAGTTTCCACGGGCTTTTTTTAAAAAAAGGTAGAAGTGCTCTTTGGAATTTGTGAAAAAATGAGTCCCAGCGATCAAAGTCAGATTGGTTTCAGCGGGTTTAATACTTCCCAGAACAGAAAGACTTTGAACTCCCAACCTTGAACCAGTTTTATCGGGGACAGTTAACAGTCTGTTTTGCAACAAAAAAGGCGATTACGCTGTCCATCGTGATGGGCAGTCGCACATCACGTAACGAGGAGAGTGTGGTCACAGCAAGCGCCGTTAAATATAGATCATTGGAGAGCTATTCCATCACCGAGGACGTCAATTCTCAGTACACTGGGTTGGTCGTCCAAGCAAATAAAAAATAAATAAATAAATAAATCAGCTGTAGCACCCCATGCCATACGAATGAGACACGAGGGCTGGGATACTGCCAGGTTGCTCAATCCTAGACAGGGGAAGTCGAGTGGCAGAGGTCGGTTCGAACCACTGACCTTCCGGTCAGTAAATTCGTACCAACTGAAACACGAGTCGGCCTGTGTGCAGCACATTCAGTTGTAGAACATCACAAACGTGAGATTCAGTTGGGTCTCCCGTGAGAACCAAATCGATTGCCAAATGAATGTATTTCTCGGAAACAGTGCAATTTGGGTTCAATTAGAACATAAGGTTGGTGGAAACTCGGCGACCTGTGTACAGCACATTCAGTTGTAGAATATCATAAATGAGAGATTCAGTTGAGTCTCTCGTGAAAAACCAAAATGATTTACAAGCGAGCGTATTTCTCGAAATCAGGTGTTTATTTTTGTGACGGGGTTTCTGAAATTTCAAGGACTAAACCAATCTCACAGAATGGATTAAGCCCGTAGTATAATTTCTACGAATTCGTCGCACTCACGCCTACCATACGCACAAAAACAAGATGGGTTTGAAATACTTTGACGCACTGATGCACCCTTGCGTAATTTGGATCCTTGCAGTTCAACTGAGAACAAATTAAGGTAGCTCGCGATGGACAACCACCAGAATACCAAGCTGTTGTGAACGAGAGCCTGAGTCGAGATTTGTCCTCAGTTGAATCCGATATCCAAGGGGTGTATGTGTGCTACTTATAAAACCAGAGTTTGAATTTCAAATGAGTCTCACGTCAATCACACCAATTTGGTTTGCGACTGATTGGTTATCAGAACTAGCGCATTTTTTTTGGCGTTTAGGACGAAATTTGAGGACTAGGCCTCTGCCAAACCTGGGAGCGGTGTTGAACTCAAATTACTGTTTTGAAAAATGTGTTTATCAACCGTGGTTGGAATCCCGTCTGGTAACATTTCCAAATTTAAAAAAATCGGTTGGCCAACCATAACTGCAGGGAAAAAGTTTGTGATAATTGTAAACCGAAACGTCTTCTGATTGGCTGAGATTGCATTCACTCGACAGGTAATAACTACCACTTTTACAGAAACGGTTTTCAACTAGTTCAGCGCGCTCATCAATTGACTGGCTTAGTTAAGTATGCCGAATTAATTAGCTAGGGGCAGAAATAACTTTTTCGTTCCGCATAGCCAGAGTCATTAAAAGTTGCTCACCCCTCAGGGACATTTCCAAACTGCCACTTCTTGTGAAGTATTGCCTGTCTGCTAAGTTAGGCTGGTTCTTAGGAGAAACAACTTACGCGCTGGACAGTTTGTTGTTGTCCCTCCTACCGTGATCCGTGAACTTGATCCGTCTCCCGGCCGCATTGATTAAACCCCCATACCAGTCTGGCAACCGCACTGATGAGCCGCCCAAGGAGAGGTCCAGTCGTTGAGGCGCTGCCACCCAAAACGAATTCAGTCGTGCCGCCCTGGTCAAGGACACGTGTCCCCTAGGCCTTTGATTTGCATTGACTAAACAATGTGTTCCCATGGGAACTAGTGCTGTTTTGCTGCGGCCTTGGCATCGCCGATTGTTTTCATGCCTCCGACTGTCTCAGCGAATGAAAACTTGGAGACATAGCAAAACTCTTTCGCGACCTGGGTAAGTGGAAACTTGCTCTGAATTTGTTCCCACTCGGACTATTGAGACAACACCCGAAATGTTGCATAAGCAACACGGAGCAAGACGGGACACGGTCTAACCGACACAAAGAACGTCTACAACTGCAATCGATACAGCCCCACACAAGTAACGAAGGTCGTGGGGAAACTGACAAAAAGAATAACTTCAGACTACATCTGAGTGAGGGCTAAAGAGCTTGAAATGTACGAGTGCGGAAGGCGGTAGTCAAAGTAAGAAATACATGTCTTTCCTTATCTTGGTCCCTAATATTTAAACGTTCAAAACCTTTATTATCAAATTAAAAGTAAATTAAACTAAATCATGTCAGTGAGGTCAGATTCCTGAAAACAGTCCGAGAACACCCCGAACCCTAGTGAGACTCTCAAAACTCATCAAAACCACTGCAGGTAAGCGGTCAGTTATCTGGGCGAGGAAAGCCAGCTGCCGATGGGGCACACAATCAATCAATCAATTCAGGAACGGCCCAAGATGGTGATCATACAGGAGTGCCACAGAAGCACGGCTGATGATGAGGATGATGATGATGATGATGATGATGATGGTGATGAGGATGATGATGATGATGATTCGGATGATGATGATGATGATGATGATGGTGATGAGGATGATGATGATGATGATTCGGATGATGATGATGATGATGATGATGGTGATGAGGATGATGATGATGATGATTCGGATGATGATGATGATGATGATGATGGTGATGAGGATGATGATGATGATGATTCGGATGATGATGATGATGATGATGATGGTGATAATGATGACAACGATGATGACGATGATGACAACGATGATGATGATGGCGATGATGAGCGTTCACCAAAAGCCCATTGGGCATTCTGCATTGAAGTTCGGAAGCATACCTTAAGTACTGCGAGGCCCCTTGTAACTTTTGCATCCGCTTGTTCGGAATAAAGCTGTTGTGTTCCTTGTTGGCGAGTTTTTCGACACCTTGGGCACCGGAGCGGTAGTTAGTTACAACAAGTCATCAAACAACAACAACAAGCCACAGAACTAGTGTGGCGTTGTAACAGAGGGTCAAAACCCCTCAAGAGTGACTCGGGACGTTGGTGAGATTTCAACTCGATCTTGATGACAACGATGATGATGATGGCGATGATGAGCGTTCACCAAAAGCCCATTGGGCATTCTGCATTGAAGTTCGGAAGCATACCTTAAGTACTGCGAGGCCCCTTGTAACTTTTGCATCCGCTTGTTCGGAATAAAGCTGTTGTGTTCCTTGTTGGCGAGTTTTTTCGACACTTGGGCACCGGAGCGGTAGTTAGTTACAACAAGTCATCAAACAACAACAACAAGCCACAGAACTAGTGTGGCGTTGTAACAGAGGGTCAAAACCCCTCAAGAGTGACTCGGGACGTTGGTGAGATTTCAACTCGATCTGGTTATTCTAACATGCACATGTCGGTGGAATTAATCACAGAACATTATGAACGTATGCAGCAAAATCGTTCCACAGTAGCACCCTTCCCGTGCCTAGCTGCTATGCCACCCGAAGAAAGCACGAGGACTGGAATGCTGCCATCTCACAGTGAACACCCTCCACTATATTCCCTTCTGCACAGGGCAGCTCTTTCTGGTCACCACCTCTTGGAAGAACAGTACAGTTTGTCTAATTGCCCTATCCAGAACGAGCTTACACATTGTTGTTGCTGTCAATGCCTTCTGTCTGACTACAACACCAGCCAACTAGTAGGCTGACAGTTAACATGAAAGAGGGTTGTACCTTTCCAAAGGGATTCGAGCACACATTCGGTCGCTCACATCAGCTCACTATTTCACTAGAAGCCTTTCTTGACACACTATTCGAATTTCTAAATTAAGTCGCTTGAAACACAGTTGGGTAGGTCAGTTATAAGTTTCGATCGATCGTTCCAACCCCCGTCTAGCTAGTCCTTTTCAGTCGAGATGTCTTTGTAACAAAACATCTGATGGGAATGTAATCCATCCGTTTTAGTTCTCCCATCAATCGTATGAACTTCTTCAGTGAGAATGGACTCGCTGCCGAAAGGAGTCGATAGGACTTCGATGTACTGAGCACGCATTTGTCATTTTAGACGTTATCTTTCCAATCTCACATGCTACCAGATTGGTTTACCTACTTAGTTCCGTTAACAGACATTTGGACGGTGGCTGGATCCGCACCGACTCATGTATTTGGAATACTAACACGCGGGAAGTGGCCCTCAAATTTGATGCTGTAAGTGACCGCACTTTGCCTCACACCATATTGACTTAGTATCTAGCCCAGGGGGTGATCTAAAACAGCGACGTGTAGGTTGATTGTATGACAAAATACTGGGCAGTCAAAGTCGACTGAATCGTGATCAAGTTGTACTCCACAGCCTGGAGTTTGAAAGCACAAGTTAACTGGAATGACAAGGCCACAGGAAGCTTGTAATGAGTTAGTACAGTTAAATGGATGACTAGAGTTTTGGAAATATCCGCGTTTATATAACTGAATATACAAATATATAAACGGAATACTTGGATCACACAGCTAGAAGCGGGACAGAGAAACGAGAGCCCCATTTGCGTACAGTGCCATCCTATGTCTGTCTACATAAACGATAGATGGCTAAGATATCATCAGAACGAGGACATCGTAAGTGTTCCTGACCTGATTCCGGGTAATAAAGAGATTGTTGTGTGTGTATGGGTGTGTGTGTGTGTGTCTACCACCAAACCCACGCACACGTCAGTGAGCGCAATCCGTCCACATGCCCCACATGGTAGGTGGGCTATCGGTGTCTGATTTCCTCTGTCGGTGCGCTATGACACTTTTGCGTGTGTACGTGCGTGCGTGCGCCCCACATGCGACCGCAACAAACGCTGTGATTACACAACTTGCGCGCCAGCATTTTCTATCACGCTCGACTAACTCCCCCCCCCCGCCACAGCTCGACCACAAAACACATCCAAGCAGCGAAACAACACCGCTGGAGGTGTGCGTGGGTGGGCTATTGTTGGTGTTGTTTCGCCATGTGACTCATAGGTGGAGAGCAGTTGGTTGCCTTCCGGTCTGCGGGCTTGCTTGCTTGCTTGTTTGCCATCCACCCCGGTCTCTTCTGAGCCAATCGGGACACTATGCAGGTGGCCCGGGTTCGAAACTAGCAGACAAGCATAGTGCCATAATGCACAGTTTGGCGAGTCGGACGGTGTTCCTGTCCGACCTTGGGGCGTAGTATTTGGCGAGCAGGTTGACACGTTCTTTGAAATGGACATATCGGATGTGCGCTCATCAATGAAAAATGTAAGTTACATGTTTATCGTTTTGGCTAGATTTAGATCTGGTAATCGAACTACTTTACACGTAAGAGGTCATAAACTCAAAGAGTACCTAGAAAATACCAGATTTTCCGGCAAAAACTTCAAGGTTTCTCTACATATAGCCAAAGTTTCTCACGTGTTATTGTCCAACTAGAAACCACAGACTGAAAAGCTCTTTCTGCCAGTGTTCCCCTCAAAATGTTGTTCAATTTGTGGTGTAGGTCTTGCGTAGACCCGTAGGTTTCTTGGATCTTTTCCAGATAAACCCTGCCAAAAAATTTACCTCCACCACCCAAAAAAATAGAAGAAAGAGGATATGAATTTGTACTTTAAGTTAACATTGAAGAGGGTGAAATTGGGACATGGCATTAATAATTTGCATGAAAAGATTCGTCTTTCGGTACCTTTGCTTCCGAACGAACTCACACAAGTAGCTGTCCACTAAAGATCGGTGTCTGCCGCGTTGGCGTTTATTCTGCATCTTGTAAACGAGCAAAACAGATTCGATGGTTTGTGTGTGAGCTTCCGTCGTTGGATCCACAACGTTTTCGGAATGATTAACCGTTTCATGTCAATCACCGTTTCAATTCCTTGGCATGATGTCCACACATTGGAGATGATGATTGAGTCGGGAGCAATGCAGGCCTGGGATGTGTCAAGAAACGTATTGCCGTCTCCTTGTCATGAACGAGAGTCGAAAGCGTCAGAAAGTTCATTGAGAACGAGAGTTGAAAGCTTCAGAAAGTTCATTTAAGATTTTACTTCCAAACGGAGAAAGTTTTCGCACAAAATGAGCCTAGATGCGAAAAAGTAGTTGTTTTCCTCAAAAATAGGTCAAGATTGTGTGCGCACCCTGAATTGGAGCTGGCGAAATTGGCGGGGCTTAACTTTTCGCGCATGCACTTTTTGCATTAGTGGTAGGACTGATCTGGAAAAGATCCGGTTTCTTCATGGCGTCGGTGCGAAGCAAACATCAATATATTGTGTGAGCTGCGAATAACTTTCCAACATCTTCGATGACCTTTACAAGTTTATACTCATGCGTACCAAAATGCATTATGTCATACTGTCAAAGACTTGAACCATCAACAGTCCAGTCCGGTTGGTTGACGCCAATAGTACTTCGGTGGATACACAGTACAATATTTGTTTTCAAGCGGCTGGATTGATAGTATACCAGAATGAAACACCGTGTCTGTGTGTCGCTTTACGAATTCAGAGAAATAGGTTATGGAGGTCTCGATGATTCAGTTGGCAGAATATTCGAGATATCGCAGTATATTTTCATAAAGGAGACTACTCATAAGGTTGCTGAAAACCCATCGACAGCCCACGATCAGTTTCGCCCTCCTGCTTTGGGCTCATCAGGTAGGCGCAGTCCCCGAGTTTCAGTCAGCATTATAATCTACTTGAACCCAAATTGCACTGTTTCCGAGAAATACACTGATTTGCAAATCAATTTGGTTCTCACGGGAGACTCAGTTGAATCTCTCGTTTATGAAATTCTACAGTTGCTCATTCCTCGATTTTCAACAGTTTTGTTGGATGGGATAAGTTAGTCCCACGAAGTTGAAAGCCCTTGCGCATTGTGTAGGCAGCACGACCAGGGTGGAATATATTGTGTTTATTAAGAAAACTACCCACACGATTGTTGAACACTCTTCGACAGCCAACGATTATTTTCCCCCTAATCAAGGCTCATCAGGTAGTCGCAGTCCCCGGCTTCCGTCAGCCTTCCCGGCTTTCCGTCAGCCTTATGTTCTACTTGAAACCAAATTGCACGAAATTAGCGAATATACACTCATGTTTCAGCTGGTATGATATTCAAGATATGGCAATACGTTTTGTCCATAAATTAACACACTAGGTCGCAGAAGGCCTTTCGATAGCCCACGATCAGTTTCACCCTTCTTCGGGCTCATCAAATAGGCGCAGTCCCCGAGTTTCCGTCAACCTTATGTTCTACTTGAAACCAAATGGCACGACACTAGCAGAGTACACTTATTTGCACACCAGTTTGGTTTTGACGAAAGACTCATCTTGAATCCAGCTGAATCTCTCGATGATGATGCTTTCAAGCAACTGAATGTGCTGCACCAGACCTCGTTTTATTTCAGTTAGTAATGAGTAGTGCATTACGTCTATACTTGTATCACGATATCTCGAATATCTCTTGAACCTGATGGAACGCAAAACACCCATGAGAAGCTGTGGAAATGATAAGATACTGTTCTATTTGACTTATATAGTCGTCCGCAAACTCAGCTGGGTTCCAGGTGCGTCTCTCGTCCAAACCAAATTGGTATGCAGATGATTGCACTGGTATAATTTCATGTAATTTGGGCTCAAGTACAACATGGAGTTGACACAAACCCGGATACTGTGCCTACCTTATTTGCCCCAAGACGGGAAAAACCAGTCTCAGAGTTTTCGGCAACCCCAAGAATTGTGTCTTACGTCAGTTCAACGGAATGTCGTGTGAGCAGATTTCGGATTCCAAATCACCTTTGGGGAACGCGGTTGTGTCAACCGACTCTCAGCGGTGTTGTTCCTGGATATGTGACACCTATTTGTGGATGTGAATCGAAAACAATGCTTCAAAGGAGGAATGGAGCTATTAAACATTATTTATATCAGAATATTGTGTTTCTGTGAGTGTTATAGGTGTGCAGATTGACCGCCCGTCGTTCACTAGTTTCTGGGTAGATTATTGGTCGAGTTGATGCAACTCTCTAACTCTTTGCAAGAAAAATAGACTTTGTCTGAACGCATGAAAGCAAGCTGAAAATCCCCAGCGGCAGTATTCGTGTAGCAGGTTTGACGTTAAAGGGAACATCGACCAGGCGTAGTCACGCTTACGAGATGAGTTGGTCCAAGAAAAGCGGTGAAGTCTTTTCCACCAGTAGATAGCCGGTTTGCAGCGGAAGAGCTAAAAGTACCGCATCGTAGCTTCATTTGTTTTGAAAATCGCCGGCTTCGCTTGACTTATGCTAGTGCTAACAGAACCTACGTCCTGGAGGTTATTAGTTGAAGGGAACACTGCTCGTTTACAAGTGGTTGATCAGCAATCCAATTAATTGCTACATATATGGGATGTATCGCCAATTGCTTGTTTTACAATTGGTCAAACACCGATTAGTTCTTTTCTTGTTGCGTTACCCTCTCCTCTCAGCCCACATATCACAAGTTCGAATCTCTGTAGGATGTCGGACTGACATTTAACTGTTGTGAGAGTAAAACTAGAGCCGAGTGCTTCGCTACTTGCCACGTACTAACTGGAATCTAGGAGTGACCGCTACACAATCGGGGGGCTTCCAGATTCTGGAACATCTTTACCCCAGAGCGGGGTTTGATGTTACTAAACTGTTGCATGAATAGGGCTATCGATAACGTTAACTCGTTTGGGCAAGTCATCCAGCAAGTTGCTTGGATTTAGAAATTGAACGAACATCAATAATATCTTTCTTTACGAGTGGTTTAGCGAAACTCAGAGGAAACTGTGTGTACGGGATTGTGACCTGAACACAGTTCAGCAACCAAACAGAGGAGGCATGCTATTTGGTCTGAAAATATGTGCTTAGGTAAAACGTAAGGTTGACGGAAACTCGGAGGATACCGTTCGTGGGTTGTCAAACTGCTTCCAGCAAACTTGTGAGTAGTATGTTCCGTCTAAAAGTATGGTTGTTCAGGATGTGAACAACCAGGAACTGTTAGAAATCGATTTAGGCGTGGTTAGATATCTGTCTTGGGATGAGTCCAGTGGGGTTAAAGGCACTAATCGGGCGCGTTTTTCGGCACTGAATACTTGTGTATGGCGAGTTAATACTTTTAGTAAACGCAGCGAGTAGTTCATCAAGTTGGAGAAATAGACCAGTCACACTACAAACAACCGGTTACCGGTCGATGGCTCTCCGCACCGTTCTGCACGAAAATGGGATTTGTGACCTGTTCTGGGGGATGGCCACCAGGAAACCGCAGTCAGTGAGGAGTTCTTGTATTGCCTTAATCCAAAGACCCTTCTCCTCTTGAAAGGACTACTCTTGAAAGAATCACCAAAATTCCTCGGGCGAGGCGCCGGGGATAGGTTATTTTCACGTTTCAAACCAAGTCGAAATCAAGGCAAAAAGAAAGTGAGCACTTCTGAATTAGCCTACGTAGTATGGCATAAAAATTGTCGTACAGAAACGCACTAAAGGATAAACTTTTCACGATGTTGTTGAACCAGAACACTTCCATACATGCGCCTGATGGGGCGTTTTCTCCTAGGCTTGATCATCAATTATGTAGACGGGCCTCTGGAATTTGTTGAGAAAGACATAGATGCATCCGGGGAAGCTTTCGTCAAAGCTTCAGTTGATACGATATTCGAGATATCGGGATACATGCATAGGTGCAATACACTACTCATAAGGTCTCTGAAAATCCTTCGACAGCCCACGATCGGCTTCGTCCTCCTTGGGGGTCATCAATAGGCACAGCCCCCGAGTGTATAACAATTGGGCCTGCATGCGGACAGTAGTGCATCAGTAAGTCACGATGCAGTAAACCATGTATCTTCGATGGGAGTCGCACTCATTGAAGTAGCATCGAGTATGCATAAACGATTCCAGATCCCATGAATTCAAAACCATTTTTGGAGAGACAAGTCATTTTCTTTAATGCGTATTGTCTACCTCCTCCACGAAGAGCCAACACCTTTAAGATGTAAACGATTTAATTCGGGACTATTGAACAACGCTGAGAACTGTTAAGGTAAGCAGGCAATTCGGGTTCAAGTAGAACATAAGGGTGACGGAAAATCAAAGAATGCGCCTACCTGAAGAGCTCCAAGAAGGAAGAAACCGGTCGTGGGCTGCCGAAGAGTTTTCAGCAATCTTGTGAGTAGTTTGCGAATGAGAGTATTTCGCTAAATTTACTACTTCATAATAGTCTACTGGATCAGTACACTGGTTCAA